GGTCTTATGCTCTAATAAATTTGTTAGTCTCTAAGGTGCCACAAGTACTCCTGTTCTTCTTTTTGCAGATACAGACTAACATGGCTGCTACTCTGAAACCTATGGACAGGGAGACAGCCTAGGAACGACTTCACTGCAAGTTGTTGGTACTGTCCACCATACATTTGCTGATGGCAGTTCCTTCTCATGTTGACCCTCGCTGTTATTCCCTGCAAAAGTGGATGGAACACATGGAGTGATGGGATGATGAACGGGTTCTGCTCCTGCTCTTTATTGCAGGACAAATGTTTATTCAGTTGAGTAGGTGATCAGTGAGATGCTGGATGGAATTTGGGCAGAACTTTGACACATCAAAGATATCTGACCTTGAGTGTCAATAACAATTCATTCAGCTCACATGGTACAGAGATGGTGAATGTCAGTATTGACATGGTATGTCCCTGGGTGGACTATTGCTTCTGGTACAGGAGAACCAGCATGGTTTGGTGGGATCACAATGTTTTGGAAACCTGGAATGACCACCCATGGCTTCAGAACTTTCAAATGAGGCAACCAACCTTCATGGAGTTGCATGAGGAATTTATACCAAACCTCTAGTGCCAGAACATTCAATTCAGGGAAGCCCGACCAGTTCATAAGTGGATGGCTATTGCTCTATGGAAGCTAGCTACACCAGACAGCTATCGGTGCATTGAACACCACTGTGAGGCAATTAACACTGATCTACCCATAGGAAAAGTTCCAGAAATAATAGCTAGATTTGAGAGGATGCAGCTGCCAAACTGTGTGGGCCATCACTGGTTCCTACATACCAATATTTTGCCCACCAAAAGGGGCAAGTGAGTATGTGAACCAAAAATGTTACTAATTCTTTGTTCTGAAAGGCTTGGTGGACCACAGAGGTAGATTCATGAATACAAATGTGGGAAACACTGGAAAGGTTCATGATGGTAGTGTGCCGAGGAGATCAAGATTGTACTTGAAGGCAACAGAAAATGATATTGTTCTGTATAGTGGTCTGTAACAACTGGTATTTTGGGGGACCCCACCTAGCTGCTCCCAGTTTGGCTCATGAAACTTTACCCAGACAACACTGATCCTCAAAAAAGGGAATTAAATTACAAGCTCTGTAACTGCAGAATGGTCATGGAGTGGGCATTTGGCAATCTCACTGTTGCTACCTACACACTCATCTGGATGTCAGTGTGCCAAACACTGTTTGTACAGTTGTCACCTGCTGTGCACTTCATAGCATTTCTGTGTGTAATGGGGAGAGCTTCCGTCCCAAATGGGCTCAGGGCAAGTCTGTTTTACAAACTTTGAACTGGCAATCAGATCCCACCTATGTGCACCTGGTCCTGGTTCCCAGAGGGCAAGGGAAATAAGGGAAGCCATATCTGCATACATCCTGGCACTGTAGGGATGCAGCAGATGACACCTGCCTGTACAGCTGCTGGAAATGCACATGAAGATACATCAGCCCCACAAGTATGTGCCACATAGCTTTGCGAGGGTTTTGTTAAACTGTTCATTGTCACCCATGCTAACCCCACTTCACACACTTTATACAGCCCTAATCCCTACTATGGTTGAAAATGATTATGGTTCAGTAAGCCTCTCCATTGGGGAATGCTCCTGATCACTATGATGTGCCTGCTGCTCCAGGAACTGGATCGATATCTCTTTCTGATGAAGAGACCACTGCTTCCATGTCCTGAGAAATTCAAACTGCTCTGAGTTTCTCCTGTCCATCCCTGTGAGCAGCTAGTCCTGGATCCTTCTCCATCTGCCCCTGATGTCTCTGGTGTGTTGCTGCACCCCTCCTGGCAGAATGGTTTCCCTCTTGGGAGCTGAAGGTCCTGCCAGTTCAAAGGGAAGAATAGCATTATATATTTTTTCCTGTGGAAGAAACATAACTTTGCTGAAGATGGCCACAATTTTGACACTTGTCAGCATTCCAGGAATGTGACTGTTTATCTTTGGTTCTCAGACAACTTTTGCAGCCCATGAAGAAGAAGCAGGGGCTACTAATAGTAAGATACATTAATTGATATTTTTAAACATTCAAAATGCAGTTTTCAAGGTACAAAAATGGAAAAGAAAGTGGCTTTCCAGTCCTGTGTAGGAGATCTAGCAGAAACATCTCTCTGGCATAGATTGCTGATGGTCACCCTTCTACGTACTGCTGAACAGAGGGGTTTGATCAGTTATGAAGGTGGACAAAACAGCTTTGCACTGCCACTCAACCTCAAGTCCCAGTGGGAGTTTCTACTACACCTGAAATTTGCTGAAATATGCTTACAGGACTGGGAAGCAATTTGACTGGAAATTGACTACACTGTCAGCTAGTATTCAGAGCTTCTGTGAAAAGGGATACGTGAATCATGAACACCGCCCACTCAACCTGACCCCTGGTATTACCAGAAAATCTTGCCCTGTGCCTGCTTAACACCAGTGAAATGGACAGAAAAAGAAAGACGCTGCAGCTTTATTTTGTTCCCTGAAGTTTCAGATTGGCACCACAAGCCCCCATCTGTCCATTGTAAAGGGACACTGCACTGTGTTTATTGAACCACCAGACTGGATCTTCCCCATGCCCATTCCCCCCAGAATATGCAACATGGCTCAGTACAGGGAGCGGCCAGATACCAGGGTCAGAAATAATTTTGTAATCTTCCAAGGGAGAAAGGACTGCTGTGATTAACTTTTTCTCACACAACCAAAATGGTCTACAACTCTGTTGTGTTCCCTTCCCCATTCCACACTTACTCACCCCACTCCACCTGCAACATTCACCCCCATTCTGTGCAGCTCTTGTTTGTAAGAGGACAGGAAGATTGGGAATAGGGATTGTGAGAAGCACTGAAACTGTGAAATCTTCCATGGGACAACAGACAGCTCTTACTAAGATTAGACAACCAACTGTACACGTTTTTTACAACCATCCCAACCCAACAGGAAACTTTCTAACCCACCCCATCCCTAAATCTATGTGGTGCTGGGAGCATCGCTGCTTGACTGCTGGCCAAGAAATGCACAGACGCTGGGGCATAATGTTTTTTCATAAATAATTTGTTTCAAAGACATAGCTTTAGCCTTATGCACAACAGTGATTCATCAGAAATCAAATAGTTGATTTATAACTTTGTCTTGCTTAGGAACCATTTCAGGGTGAATTGGAGTCGGAGCTGGATGGAAGTAGGAAATTTGAATGGGTTTGGTAAGGGGATGATACATGAAAATGCCGTGACTTCAGCACTGCAGTTCAAACTCCCAGAGACATAGCAATGCATGGAATGTTATCCAGGGAGGAAAAGTCAGTGCACAGTACTCCAATCAATCTTAAAATCAGGAATTTAGCATGAGAGCAAGATGGGATACTGGTGGGGAGTCCACTGTAACTTACTAGCCTCAGGTTCTGGTTGGTGCTGCAGCGTAGCTTCCTCCTTGGGTTTGTTGGCAGAGCTTCCTCACCTGGTTCCTCCACACAGAGGTACAGAATCACATGCTCTTTGTCCAGGGCAGGCTCAAGGTTTTTTGCCGCCCCAAGCAAAAAAAATGTGCCCCCTCCCCCTTCCCCCCGTTTATTTATTTTTTTTTTTTGGCTTTAACACATGTTTGCAAAGCACCTGATTTGCGTTGTTTTCCACTCTGCTCAGCAATGGCTGATGATGGCTCTTTAACCTCCCCAAGGGCATCTCTTAGATTCAAAAGAAAGATAGGGCTTGTATTCATTACTTGGTTTATTGAGGGCAACTTGTCTTATTAAAGGAGAATCTCTTTTGCATTTGCTCTTCTTTCAGCGCATGCCCTTCCAACTTCACTTCCCACCCAGACTTGAAGAGAGATCAGAGAGTTTCACTCCTTAAAGTCTAAAAACCACGAGTGTTTCTTTCCCCCGCTTCTCCCTCCTTTCGGTAAAAGGCTCCTGGTGTCTTTCCCTTTCACCTTAATTGGAAGGAATGTCCCCGACCCCCCAGTTCCCGCTTTCCCATCATCACCATCCTTCCAGTGACCTGCTCCTGTAGCGAATGCCTCACATGTCTAGGGTTGGAAAATATCCTACAAATCAAAAGGGAAGGTGGGGGAGTTAGGACAACAGGGTCCGGGGCGCCACTCAGTCTGTCCCACAGCCATGAAAAACCCTCACCTGGACAGTTCAGCTCCTAAATCTCTCTCTTCTCTTCCCCAACACTAGTAGGGTTTGCATCCAAGCAGCTGTGAATTACACTTAATGCTGGGGATGTTTTTTTGTTT